CCCCCCCCCCCCCCCCCCACAACCTCTTGAAAAATCCAGTATCCGCCCCTGACGTTAAAACTTTGTTGGAATTGCCGTTGAGAAAAATGTCGGTTATTGACACCGGTTTAGTTTTCAGAAAGTCTTCGTACGCGTGTGCATCCACGGTATTTTGACCGGGATCATCCGGTAGAGTTTTACCTGTCGTTATCCATACACCAGCCAGTGTGTTGTTGTTAATTTCGTTGTCCTCTATGAGCCCCATGCCCTCCTCGTGCTGAGGAAGAGAAGTGCAACATGAGAAGAAAAAGAAATGGAGTCATTAAAAAAAATCGCAAGGTGCACACACTGTGAAGACTTATTGATCACCGCAGTTACACACACACAACTTAAGCAGATGCGAAATTAAAGCCTGAAAAAATTCAGGCTTAAACGATCGTAAACGGGATTAGAATCCCACTGAGATGATCTATCATGTCTTCATATCTTTCTCCGCAGTTCAAATATATGTTCTTTCATATATTCACTTGTATTCTTCACCATCTACGGGTATATTATAAACTCACAAAGTGACCAGTTCCCAGTTGGCTTGATAGCTCAGTTGGTAGAGCACTGCACTGGTATCGCAGAGGTCATGAGTTCGAATCCCGTTCAAGCCTGAATTTTTTTCTGGCTTTAATTTCACAATTACTTAAGTTCTCTGCATAACCGCGATGATTAATCAGGCTGTCTTTATATCTTTCTCCGCAGTTCAAATAATGATCTTTCATATATTCAATTGTGTACACACGCAGATTGGCTGAAAATTTTGCTTTTGAGGTGACTCCCTAGAGTAATTACAAACACCCTCCCTATGGAGCGCGAGTTAGAAAAGGAAACTTAGTCAATTTCTCTTAAAGTTTTCCCCGTAGAGATTTACCAGTATGGGTACTGTTAAAATAAGGCTCATGTGTCGGTAGTCAATTTTTGGATTAAGGCCGTTACCAAGGCAACATCTCATCTAATGACAGGCAGATATAATCCTCAGTTTGACCTAAACTCCTTAATATTTATACTTTTCTTCAGTGAAATTTTTTCATACTTCGCCACATCATGGAAATGATATTGCCTGACATTTTGAACTAGTAAAAAGTCAAGGTTGTTCAGACGGTTTTTCAATATTCTGTAATTTGTCATTATTCTAAATATATTAGACTAGCTCTGACAGATTGTAACCAAAATGGGGTATTTTATAGGAAATGTATGTGGTTAAAACTGAGCCAAATCAAAAAAAAATTCACCGAAGGAAACACGAGAAAATAAGCATTTATTTGGTCACATTGACGTCACAAAAATCAGAAAACCACGCGTGGCGTAACGCGTGGTNGCGAAAATCGTCTCGGTTGATTGCATACGCGCCATAGGGCTGTCAATCAAGAGGTAAACTTTTACTTCCGGTGAAAACGTAAAACCGCCATTTCTCCGCAAATATTTAGCCTTTTTCAAATTTTTTTTTTCGGAAATTAGAGATTATTCTTCGACCACTATTTTAACCCAAAAATCCAAATTTGAAGAAAATTGCCGACCCGAAGGTATACTGTAACCTTAACGCCTTTCATGTGTTGAAGTGATTTCGTTTCTTCTTAGGGTTACTTGCGTCATTTTTGAACGCGCGATTAATACTGACGTTTGGCAGACAATGGTAGTGCGCGCTATTGAGTCTCAGAAAAACTGTAGTAAGCCACCTTAAATTTGAAAAAAACAACAAAGAGTTATGGCACATCAATGCTATGGTCATTAAGAACAAATTCAGTTACTTCTTCTACAGGTACGCCAACGACTTGGAATAGCCCTTCCTAGGTCGCTGCCTTGCATGTCAGTCAATTTAAACAAACAAGTCAAACTAGTTTGGAGAACATGCAATTCATCATTACCACGTATATTCCGCCATGGAGTCCGCTGTGTATTCTGTTGCATCGAACAATGGGATTACTTTTCGTCCTGATCTGAATTCCAGCAAGTGCATTGTCTAAAACAAAACAATGAAATAAAGACTTTTGCACACATTTCACCTGGAAATCGATTTCAATACCTGCTATTTACGTAGTAAAAATGTACATCCACACCGAGATTGTGAATTTCAAGTACTGCTTACCCAAAGCAAACAAACGAATAGAATAAACCTATACATACTTACCGTGAATGTTGTTCCCTTCGATCAATCCTTTTCCCTCGCCAAATACGTAAACTCCTACAAGGACAATCAACATACTGGTAACAATGAAGTCGCTAACATGTAATTGGATAACTGACCATAGCGCGAAAATGATGAACCTATTTTTAAAATAAAGTTTCCTTCTAGTCCATTAGTTGTGGCCTAATATGGAGTTTAGCCAATCACCCCACTTGGTCTGCGTGGACTGTGGCTCGTACACATTGGTTAGTAAGTCAATCACCAGACAAGTACGTATAGAAAGTACCCTTACCTCCTTGCTGTCCGTCGTATATCTCGTTGTTTCTAAAACGCAAGCAAAAGCCATGGTGAAAACTTGACGGCAACGCACAGACAATACTTGGAAATAGCCTTACAGTCGACATACAGAACCCAAATACAACTGACATCTAAAACTGTCAAACTCTTGTTGGATAAACCGGCCAAAAACAAAACTGTGCATTTTGCACCAAACATTTTCACTGTTGTGCAAATCTTTAATGTAACTCGCCACACCAAAACCTTGCAACGCAGAAATATACAGTACATGTAGGCTCTAGATCTTGTAGCAACAAAACGGGTATTGTATACTTGATAACGTTGCCTTCAACTCGTAAATATTTCAGCAAAATTGCGAGACAAGTCATCACGAACATCTTCAAGTGTACCATTCCCTTCGGAGTACATAATGCACAACAAGAACTTGTTTATTTTCTCACTTTATGGTAGGATTGCTCTGTGATGTTATCCAAACACCAGCATATGTATTGGAATAAATCTGATTCTCTAGGAATTCACCTCTTGCCTGTGAAATAAAGCAAACCAATGCAGAGTTGCTGAGAGGGTTAGTTTTTCAAGTGGCAAGACATCAGTAGGACATTGCAAAAAGGTAACTATGCACTTACATCGTCATGGCAATAAATGCCGCCTGTCATACCATGGTGTACCTTGCAGCCCACCACTGTTGGATTGGCGTGAGAACGAATCTCAAAACCAGCAATGCGATTATTGTACACGTCATTTCCTTCATAATAACCCTGCAAGAATGCAAACAAACAATTAATACCCTTTGGTTGCGCATTTGTGGCATAGATTGTCTTGGCCACTTAATTTTCTATGGCATGGAATAAAATAGTTACACAATGCCTTCTTGTGGTATACTAACCTCTTACTACCCGAGCGCGAGGGCCGCACTGGGGAATATTGGCCCGAGGTAGTGGCAGTACGAGCGCAGCGAGGTCCGTACAAAAACGACCGAGGGCCAATATTCCCCAGTACGGCTCGAGCTAGCTAGGTTAGTAAGTAGTTTATTATATGCCCATGCTTGTTTTGAATTTGCCGGCTTTCAAAAACAAAAAATACACAGCTTATGACCGTTTCCAGGGAAACGGTCCGTATGGCAAAATCCCGACCAAGAAAGAACCAATCAGAACGCTCGGATTTACCTCAAGACTACCTTGCCATATAATAACATGGAATATCCCGCAAGACACTTGTATTTTCTTGGTATACACGTTTGTATTTATACCGAGGAAACTGCAAGTGACTCGACTAATTGGGTGCTAAGTTAGTAAAGGCATTTGGTAAAATCTACAGTAGCTATTATATGGTGGATTGTCATGTTCTTTTAGTAAAGAAGTATTCACTCACCAGTCCATAATCAAAAATAAAGAAGCCAACATCTCTACCATGATGCACTTTATTTCTCCTCATGATAGGACTAGCATGATTCCGCACCCAGACACCTGCTAACTTGATGTTTGTAATCTCGCAGTCTTCATATGTTCCCTATGAAATAAGTTACCACAGAAAAAAAAAAAAGTTTACATGTATTCCTAATGTTTTAAACAAAAGGGTTTCATGATGCAATAGAAACAAGGAAGATGTTTTCTACACACCGAATGCAAATATGGCGGATCACTCGGACGGCCCGGGACTAGTAGCGTGGAAGCGAGGCTAGTCAGTCCTTGGTGCAATGTTTTGACTACGCGTGTTGTGGATTCATTTCGCGATGNTTTTTTTTTTTTTTTTTGACAATGCATCCCCAGAAAAGTTTTGCTTTGTGGTCGATGTGGTCTGCTCAGTTTCGCCATGCCTACGAGTTGTTGTGTTTCTGAATGCCACGAGAAAGGATAGAAATCTTCCACCGTTCGCCTCTAAGGGAAAAAAGTGGATCCATGCAATTCGTTGAAACAAAGGAAGGGAGCTCGTAATCACTGCAGAAACTGAAGTTTGTTTGCTACATTTCAGGTTGGAAGATCTTAGAAAATTGTTTATGAGCTTATGTGGTGTCTAGTGGTGTTCTAACACAATTTCCACGGCCAGTACCTTCCCCAAGGTAAAGAAAGCATCAGACATCCTCTGCTTCAAAAGAAGAAGTTGTTTACGTCCGCGTACACTCACACTGAGTCGCACGAAACAAATCTGAACAAATATCACGGTGGAATCACCCAGCGAATGAACTTCAACTGCCCCGTCGTTGAAATCAGTGAAAGCATTGATCCAAATGACAACGACTTGAAGGTAAATGTGACCAGTAACAAATTTTCTTAGATCTTCCAGCATGAAATGTAGCGAGCAAACTATTACAGTTCCCTCGGCGACGATTAGTTCCTTTCCTTATTCTGTTTTCCCCTCGGAGGCGAACAGCGCAACTGAAAAAACTGTCTCTCCCGTGAAAGATTTCACTCCCTTCTGGTGTCATTCAGCAAAATTTCGTAGGCAGGGCGAATTACAACAGACCAGATCGACGACAAAGCAAAACTTTTCTGTGGAAGTATTGTCAAAACAACTTACCGAGGCCTCACTAACCTCTCTTTCATGCAACTTGTCCAGGGTGCCGACCAAGTGGTCTGCCATATTTGCAAGGAGCATTCTGTTGTTATTTATTTGTTACCTGAGAGCCATCTGTGATGAAAACACCAACATTTTCTGAGTCAGAAATGAGAGAGTTGGACAAAGTAGGTCTTGCTCCCCTGCCATGTACATAGACTGTTGCACCAGCTACAGAAAAAAAAAAGTTTGCGAATCCAATTTTGTTTTAAAATTCTCCTTACTGATTTTCATTCACATTTGTAATGATAGTTAAGAGAATTTGGTGGTACATCAAGATACACTACATTATTAGTAATAACTAAAATTACATTGCCTATAATCCTTGTGCATAGGCCTGGTGGCCTCATGGTTAGTGCACTCAACTCTGGATTGAGTGATCTGGGCCCTGGCCAGGGAAATTGTGTTGTGTTCTTGGGCAAGACACTTTACTCAAGATCACAATGCCCCCATCCACCCAGGTGTATAACTGGGTAATGGTGAGGTTAATACTGGGGGCAACCTTGCGATGGACTAGCATCCCATCCAGGGGGAGTAGAAATATTTCTAGTCACTTCATGCTACAGAAACCGGGATAAGCTCTGGCCTGATGGGCCACTTGGCTCATATGCAGACTTTACCAACCTTTATTGCTGCTCCTACATGTACTGTATACAGTATAATATGTGGTCAAGAGAGACCGTGCATTTTGAGGGAAATTCCCACTTGTTAAGTGGAGTGTATGCTGAACCACTTATATACTTCCTTCAAGTGCTGTAGCTACATGTAGTAAACCTTCAATTGAGAAAATAAAACCTAGTCAAAAAATCTTACCATTAGCTAGGCTGGTGAGCTTGCAGTTATAGATTGTAGGAGAGCAGTCATCCACAACTTCTATACAGCCTGATCGCACCACCTGAGACTCACTGCCAGGACAGTTCTACAAACAAGACAACATGTAGATCAGTAAGAAGCAAAAACAACAATATTATTGCATGTCCACTTAAACATGTATGCACTGAAACCCTGGAATTCATGGAATGAAAGCCTTCATTACTTAGATGGAGGTCCCTGGTATACACTCTGTTATCAGGAAATTTTGGTCATCTTCCCACCAACCCATCACACAAATCCCTATTATTTCCCCACTCTGATACTTTGTTAAATCAGGAACATATCCATGGAAATCATGTGAAAAGCATGCAAAAAGAGTGTGAAAAGAAGGAACAATGTGCATAATCAATGTTCAAAATAATGTGTACTGCACCAGTGATTTGCATGCACTTGTTTTGAAATTTTAATGCTAGATTACAGTCAAACTTGCAATAGTACAGGAATCCATATTGGTTTTTTCTCCCAGTCGTCAGGCTGGGTAAGTATGCCAGATGACATTATAATTTGCCTGCCAAATTTTACTTGCCCGTTCAACAGGGAAGAATGGCAACACAACAGCATGCAAATGGCATATTATTTTCACACGGCTGGTCTCCCAGTACATCATGTCCATAGTTGCGGCTATCAGTGGACACAGAAAATCCACGTACAAATGAAAACCAAGGCCTCTTCAACTGCACTCTTCCTGCTTGTATTAGGCTTGTTTTTCCTTAAAACACCATATCCTGATCAAAACAGCTGATGCGAACGCATCAGGCTTTTAGTCAGATGGGTGTCCCTGGAGGCGTCCTGTGGACGGCCACTTTCTATAGAAAACTGTTTCATTTTTCAGATGTTGCCTTATAAATCGCTCATTTGAGCAGGCTCAATAGCACATTTTGGACGGCTACTTTTCAAATTCTAGCTAAAAGCCTAGATCACACCATGTGTTTTTGCGAATGCAGATGCAATATTTAGAACATCTGCAGTTGACAAAATTGAGTCTGCGATGACTTCACTCATGGAGAATACAACATCATCCAAGATTGTGGACCAAACTGATGATTTCATTGCAAAAGAAAGTAGCAAATCTGTTTTCTAAGGGTTCCATATACAGCTGTAGATGACAAGTGGTCAGAATGCAAGGAACTCACAAGAAAATTTAAGAAATACTTTTTTCCTTTTAGAGTCGAACTAAACTAGACGTACAGTGAACAAGTTTTAGTGTTGTTTTGGTTGTCTCTATGATTTTTCAGTCATCACAGCATATTCACAGCAGCACATTTGATTTTTTAAAACAAACAGTGTAAAAGAGCAGTGCCTACCTTTAGAGTCAGATGTCCCAAGAAGGAGCACACTGAACCAGGATTGAAAGTAACAACTGTTGAAGAGTCGTACTGAATGACAACTGCATCAGCTTCATTCTTAGCTGTCAATCAAAGCAATACTTGTAAGCAAGTTATTTCTATATAAAAACATTATTGACACCAACCTTAAAACTTTTGACTTCTGATTAAATATAATAAAAAAATAAATGTTTCATAATAGTATTTATTCAGTTTTCTCCAAATATACCTGCTCCAATAATTGCGACAGGTTTGCTGATTGACAGCTGCTCATCATACACACCACTGTGCACTACAATAACACCATCATCTTGTATGGCATCCAAAGCGTTGTTAATTGATTCATGATACTATTTATAGAGAGAGTATAAACAAAGAATGTGATAAATATACAGAGAGAGCGACAGTGGCACAGGTGTTGAAAACATGGATACCCTACTCGCTCAGTTTAGTTTCCCCTCAGGCTCCACCATCCTTTCAGACACCATTCTCCAAGCTCATCGATTGTTGATGAGTTTAATGTTAGTCACATGTTTTTATTCTGGATCTGCACCACAATGTCAGTGGCAGATCCACAGGGAGGGAGTGGCCACTGATCACAATCTGGATTCACCAATATTAATAGAAGTGGCAAAGTAATACAGCTTGTGGATGTAAAGGGCATGCTACTCTCCCTTAATGGACATGCAATTACCTATAGACCATTGTGCAGTTGTCGGTTCAGTTAGGCCTGACCTTTGAATGGCAGCAAGTTTAGGTGACCTTGTTTCGATAAAGGCCTCACTGCTTTTGTTGTGTAAATCAAGTTGTTCTTGTGCTAACTAGTTAACATTTAAATGACAAAAGCAGAGAGGTCTGTATCCAAGCAAGGTCACCTGCAGCCTCACTTACATTCATAGGCAAGGCAACTTTAGAAGCACACAACCGTAAAATGGCCTATTCAGGGCTTCTGGTAGGTCACAGAAAAAAAGTCAAATTTCATGGGATTTTCAGGGACAAATTCAGGGAAAAAATCGGCCGATTTCGTGGGGAATTTCGCAGGAATTTTTGAGGCCAATTTCGCTGAAAAATGATTGTTAAAAAACTGCTGATTTTGTGGGAGTTTTCTAAGCAAATTTCTCTGGAAGGCAACTGGTTTTGTGCTGATTTAAGAAACATTTTTTATGAAACTAGAAGCTCTTAGATCATTTACTCAGGCTTCATACCGCAACATGAAATCGTATTTTACAAGTAAGCTTATTGAACACACAAAAAAAACACAAATAAGAGAATCAGGATAATAAAACCACAAGAGTTACGCTTAGATATTTAATATTCAAGTTGCTTCGTTGAATATCATCTTTATCCAATTGCATGTTGTTTGCCTCATCTTCAAAGTTCTGTTTACATCGATTCTTGATTTTTCCCAACATCTGAGGCAAACAGTAGAGAGACACCAAAAACCTACTACACAAAGGAAATATGGTATGTTTGATTCTTGTCAGTCTTGGTTTTTTGATTCTCGTTCTTCGTTTGGACTTTCATACTTGCCAAGAAATGATTAATGAAGGTTGTGGTTTGCTCTATGTTTGGCCATGAAGTTGCTTTTAACAGAGGACACCATTTTCTCTCTTAAGAACAACACGCCCTAGAAATGCACCAATGACAAAGCTTTTCACATCGTGGCTGCTGCCCAGTTTTTTGTAACACTAATCTAAGAGCGCCTGGTAATTTTGGAATGTTGTTTACTTGACGAAGTTGTAAGGTAATTTAGCAAGTTTACAGCAAGTAAACAGCTCCAACAGCCAAGATAACTTTCAAACATGTTGTGCCAACAAGTGTTTGGTAAGATTTCTAGCAAATGTGAATTTTGCAGGATTTTGTGGATTTACTTGAAATTTGCGGCTCCATGACCACACGAAATATCAGAAGCCCTGCCTATTACGTATTAATATGCGATTGAGACTGAGATTGAGCATCACCAAAAGAATTATCATTAGGTCAAAGTTTTTACAGTCTGCTGAAATAAAGAATTAAGATTTGAATGCATATAATAAAATAACAAATAATATAATAATATTATAATTATTCTTGGATTTCAGCTTCTGCATGACATTTCCCCAATCGTCTCACTAATTTTGTTACATGCACTGTACCTAAATAATTCTTGTGTATTATGTTGAAACATTTACATGTACAGTGTATAATGTTACTGAGTAAGTTGAGCTATAATTATAATGTACTTAAGGTATTGATCCAAACTTACATTTATCTTTCTCCCTGTACACTGGCCAGGATTTAACTTGCTTTGTTTTGCTATAGCAGGATGAACATGATGTGCATGATACAGTGCACTAAGACATTTCTTCCAGCACAAGTCATTCTCCGGTTCTTCTTCAATATAAACTCCTTCAGATGTCTTTATTAAGGGCTTCTTCAAGTCAAATACTTGACTATAAAGTGATCGCCTGTTTATGCATAGCACAAAAAATATGAGAATTGGCATCCTGAAATTACTTCCTGTACATGTACGTACAGATCGCCTAAGGGCCACAGCAAATTGCAGCACCAATAACTCAGTGTAAAATTGTTTTACATGTACATGTGATTTAACCTGATCCAATGACACCTGGAGCTTTTTGTCAAAAAGGATATATTTTGGACATTTTAAGGCTAGATATGAGCCAAATTAGCTCCAATCTAATCAAAACGGCATTTGCAACACGACAACATGCCTTTCTTTCCACTAGCATCACATTTATGACATTTTTGCTCGGGCATGTGCAGAAATCAAAATTTCGAGGAGATTTTTGGATGAGAAAGACTGACCTACATGTAAGGCTTTTTTTTAGAAAAAAATTTTGCCTTTCCTTCTCCTCCTTTTCTTATCTTTTTGCAGCAGTGATTGACCTGCTACTGGGCTTACTTCCAGTTCAAGAATTCCTGCGAAAGTATCATCAAGATGGGCAATTCTTGACACAGAGTAGCCAAGTGTAGTGGAGGAAAATTTTGCTCTGAGTTTTTCACCCCAATTTCTGAGCATTTTTTTTTTTTTCATATTTCACACTCAATTGACCCAATCGCTCTGATCTGGGTATGATAATGTTGGAAAGATCTTTTCCTCCAGCAGAACTTGAGTATAGGAGAAACCAAATTTAGTCAAAAGTGATGACATGAGAAGTGTAACAAAGGTTAACGCTCATCACAGCTGGTTATGGCTGGCACAGGCATCAATGGGTTAAGCATGATACAGCGAGTAAACTTTTACACACACTGGAATTACAGGTGAATTGCATGTACATCGTCATGTATTTTGATGAAGGATATGATGAAACCTAATATATCATTGAATGTACTTTAAAACTTGACTAGGTTAATGATATAAACCACTTTACTAGTGCTTCCTATATGATAATGTTAGCAGTCTCAGCCTGCACAGACTAGATGGTAATCTTATAACAGCCCAGCGGAGTTTTTGGTCATGAATACTCCCTAAGACACATTGCTACTTGTATCAAAGACGTTCTAAAGGTTGACACATTCTAACTGGTTTGGAACACTTTGCAGACCTTTTTGTGGAACTCACCGAATGCTTCAACTGAAGAAATAAAAAATAATTCTTTTTGGAAAATGCAGATAAGATAGCCAGGGATTTGGCATAAAAAACGTATTTAGAGAAAAACTGTTGGGATAACACGAGAAAAGCTTGTAAATCACGAGCCATTAGGCAAGTGATTTACAAGCTTTTCGAGTGTTCTCCCAACATCCTAAGTGGTTTATTGCACCAGTAAACCCATAGAAAGAGTGGTCTATCGCTTTTATGAAAATTAATAAGCATGGAAAAAGTCTGTCAATGAGAGGAAATTTATTGCACTTTCGTGATCAATCAATTAAGTTGCTTATTCTCATCAAATTCATGAGATGACATGACCAGCCAATCACAGCAACCGAAAGAATGAATTAAAGCACAGACCCTGCATCGGACACAAAATTCACAGAGCATAGCGATGAAAACATTTCAAGCTAAGACAGGTTTAAGAAAGGAAAGGAAAAGTTTATCGGTGAACAGCAAAAAGTATATTAACTAACTCAAAAGTATTCTGATGGGGAAATGCAGAGATTTGTAGGTGAAATTGGTCATCACCAGAGTGAAAGGCTGTACGAAAATGTGCAAGTAGTCCAAACTTCATGTACTTGGCGACGTGATTCAACGCAGTATTTAATGAAAACTTTCCAAAGTTTTGTGAATGGAATAAAGGTTAGTTACAGAAACGCTGCTTCCGAAATATATTCAGAATTTATTTACTTAATATGCTGAAGGCTGTGAAGTCCATGTTTCTCTGTATTTTGCTAAATGAAAACTATTGCTTGAAAGCTAAGCTTATGGAAACCAAATTCAATCATTTATTGTGTTATGCGTGCATGCATTGAGTTTAAGCAAGTACCCTAAGCAAGTAGATGGATGTAGTATGAGGAACCCATTGTCTCCCACCCTAGCCAACATCTTAATGTGTAAACTAGAGGAAGACGTCGTAACACCACACAATTTGCCATTCTATGACTGGTACGTAGATTATTGTTTTACCAAAAGGAAGACAATTGCTCCCAACAATCTACTTGAGAAGTTAAACATGCAGCTACCATCCAAACATCAAGTTCATCATGGAAGAAAACCCTGGTCACTTCCTGGACACCTCTTTCAACCATCAAGAGGAAAACTTCACCACCAGAGTCTACCAAAACCAGGTAAACTACAAGCACATTGGAAATCGGTCATCCCAGAAAGGTGGAAGCGCAACACTATTCAAGGTGCCGTATATCGAGCAAAACGAATAGCCATCAAAGCAGGATACCCCACGAAATTGGTAAATGAAGTTATCCGTGATTATGAAAACCCAAAAAGTGACGAAACAATAATTCCTGTCCACTGGTTCGATGAAAGACCTAAACTAGGAATCCGTCTCCCTTTCTGCAGAACAAATGAAGTAGAAAGTAGGAAACTTAACACGTACACCAAATGCATTCAGGTTCAACTTCTTTATCATGTGGAAAACACACAAGATGGAATCAATCTTCAAGTTAAAAGACAAAAACACACACCCATCACACATCATTTACAAAGGTAAGTGTACTTGTGGACAATCATACATTGGCGAAACAGCACGCAACCTCGAGGTTCATGTTAATGAACATTCAGATGTTAATAAGCAGTCGGAGCCAGCAAAGCACATCAGAAAACACCCTTACCACAAGTTCTCGTGGGAAGTTTTAACCACTGCCCATTCATGGTTAAAAAGGGGAATCAAAGCAGCATTCTACATTGCACGCTTCCCTCCAGAACTAAACAAACAAGTGCAATCACTGGACCTCACCTTTTTCCCCACGGGAACAGGTATTACATAAGTGGCATTACCTGAACTATGAGAACACTGAGCGTATGCATATTATTTCACTCTGATGACGATCAAACAGATCAAAAACGTTTAGATTCATAATTTCAACAGCTCTTTACCTTAAAGTTTTATGTATCTTTTTTAATAGAACATAGGTTTGGCAACTCTATTGACCAATCAGAGTGTGCGTAGTATCTCAGTTATTTCATAAAATATTATAGTATCCAGAAGAGTACATTTTACTGCTTCTCCCGGCCCTTCTGACCCAATCCATATGTTTCTGTTTAAACAACATGACTACACACAAGCAACCAAATTTATCTAGGACCATGAATGTAAGATGAAAATTAATCCATTCACTACAAACCATAAGCATCCATCCTGACATATTGTGTTGAGTCTGGTGCATGTCTGTGACATTCTACAAAGCTCTTTTTCTTGAAGGTAAGAACATATGAGAAGTAAAACTTCGTCTGGGACAGCTCTGATGTAACAGTTGAAATTACCTGTGAATTGAAATTGATATAGTATGCGGATCTGAAAAATATTGTTATGTAGCTACAGTAGCATGGGTGAATGATAATTAATTTCAAATTAAATCCACATGTTGAAGATTTATTTATAGATTGCTCTTAACATGTTAAATGTGACAATTGTTGCAAAAAGGAACAATTAGTTTTACGCTTATTCTGTCAGTGTCAAGACACTATTATTTTACCGTTTAACAGTAGTGCAATCCTCTAAATTAAATGCAAGTCCAGTCCAGCAAAACCATTTACAAAAATTATTATTAGGTAAGTGCATAAATTAACCCTTAGCACGCCAATGCATTGATTCACCGCGGAAAAAGTAAAACTTTGACCCTACACTATAAATAAATAATTCTAATTCTAAGGAAAGAATATGAAGGAAGGACAGCCACGTTAATATTTCCAACCGTGTAATATAGGAGCCTTCCACCGCAATTGAATACAATTCTTTCGTGACAATAATTATTGAGTCAGGAGGCACGTGGAGACTGGCTCAACAAAAAGACTCTTAACAAAGACATCGGTAACAAAAAGAAACGGCTTATTTCAGAAACTCATCGATAAAATATTTTTTACACGTAGCAATACGATACGTACCTCCTTGACTGTGCGAGCTTGTAAGGTTATAAGATCGTTTACGACCAAGGTTCCTAGTTGTACTGAGTTTCTTGTCTTGCTTTCTTGTCAAACGCGACAGTGCGGACTGAAATAGATCGAACGAAGAGTGCATTTTAAAAATATTCTTCAATTCGTCAGCTTTGATCCCATGATATGAAATAACAGAGAATCTGGAATACTCTGACGCCATCCGGTCCTTGTAGACAAAGGTGCAAAAGATGCTAAACTGAAAACAAGAAAAAAAATATTGAAATCGATCGACTCACATCTAAACACATGTCAAATTTTCTCTCGACCTCCTTGATTTCTAATCCACAATCTTTTTCCTTCATCGATGAGTCTCCAGTGTTGCACTTTCTCCACGGCTTGTCTCTCTCTGCAAAACAAAACAAAAGAACAGGGGTTGAAGCCTTGTTAAAATCTGCCGTTACAAACGCTTGCTATAAAGTAAACATTGCCGTTGCTGAACGCCGGCCGATCTCGCGGAAGAAATACGCTCTCACTCAAGTTGCATCTTCGTGTATTTGAGGAACTCGTTTTCGCTTTCCGGTAATATTCTGTGCAAAGCCTTGGCCTTCTCGAGGTAGACATCACTTGAGGTTTTTCTTGAAGACACCCGAACACAGCTGTTTGCTTTGTCTTGAAAACGGGATTGTTTTCATGTGGAGGAAATGACGAACCTTCTTTCATCTCTCTTAACCAATCATATCTCTGGAAAAACAAAGCAACGAATTTTGTCCAATCAGCTTGCGTGTTCCAGAGTCAATGGAACGAAATTCAAATGCACAGACAGACTGATTAGTAGATGAGAAGCTGTGAAAAATAACAAATTAGAGCATTCTCGATTCTTAATTTTTTTTTTTACAAAATTTACTTTTACACACCACCACCAAGCCAGCGGTCTCTTTGCTTTTCATTATCAG